CCCCTTGCTCGCGGCCGTAGCCTTGCAGCACACGACCCGGCATTCCCTACGGCGTCCCACCAACAGTGGCTGGAGGGCTGGCCCTAAGAGAGCCGTACGAACGGGAGCAGCTCTGGCGCAACCTCGCGTGATTTACGGAGGAAAGCCACGCGAGACATCGAATCATACGCGCTGCGGCCATCGATCGACACAAGGACGAAAAACAATGAAAACAGCAGTGCCAAAAAAAAAACTTTGTGTTGACATTAATTGTTCTAGCTTCTAGGGTGTGTCCACGCTTTATCCAGACAATAGACTCTGGATTATATTCATTGTTTTGTCGGTGTATAAGAAAAAGACAAATAACTTTAGAGTTCATTGTCGGCTTTGTTCCGCATCCCTGTCGTAGAATTAAACCCTGCTAATTGCTGTCTGCGGGTTGGGGTCTCTCTGAGAGGAATCAACGCGGGATTCAACTCTCTACTTGGGTCCTTCCAGGGAATTAACTCTGGATTTAAGAGTTTTGCAAGGCTTCGGAGGCTTCGGAGTCTTGAGGTTCCATTCGGGGAAATTATGATTTTGTTTTTTTGTTTTAATTTCGGCCCCCCAGGACGTGGGTTGGGTGGGATGCAGGGGGGTGCGGGGGCATGGGTTGGGTGCAGTGCAGCGGGGTGCGGGGTGGGGTGCGGGGGGCATGGTTGGAATGGCAGCTTTTAGCCGAGATTTGGAACCGAAGCGAAGTCCGCGAATCGAGGTATCGATGGCGTAATTTTTTCCCGGCGCACCGAAAAACAATTACATTTGTATATCCTTTTGACGACCGGAGGTCTGGAACCGAACCGACAGTTTGCTACTTTACGAAACAACGTAGCGGTGCTTTACTTTTTTCCGGAGCACGGAAAAATTGGATCAGGGGTTGATTGACAGGAACATCCGAGATTCCGAACCGAAACGAAGTTCGCGAAGCGAAGTACCGATGATTTAAGCTTTTCCGGAGCACCGAAAAACAAGTAAATCTGGAGTTACTTCCTTTTGACGAGCGGAGCTGCGGAACCGAAACGTAGCACCGATAGCTTCCTACCTTACGAAGCAAAGCAGCGGTGGCTTACTGTTTCCAGAGCCGGAAAAATTAGATCAAGGGTTGATTGTTTTGAAGACCCGAGATCTGGAAACGAAACGAAGTCCGCGAAGCGAGGTACCGACAGCGTAATTTTTTTCCTCCACCATTTTACGTCCTCACAACGTGTCCCACCGTCGTTAACTACTTGGGCCTCCAAGAACGCCGTGAGACGCTCACCCGGCCGCAAAGAGGCACTAACCGCGACTAGCGAGTCGTGCTGGCCAAGCGCGTAAAGTCCCGGTGCGAGGGCCTTCAGCCGGCGCGATGTCGTGCACTCGTCCCTCGTCGTCCCACCACAAATAAGTGGGGGTGCGCACATACATGGCGCGGGTGAAGGGCAGCGCGGAAAGCGTGAGGCGCGACAAGGCGATGGCGTCTAGTGCTCCCTGTCGGGCCTGCGCGCAGGCGGCGACGCTCATTGCAAACGCGAATGGCCCGAGTGACGCCGCATCATCCAGGAGCATAGGCCTGCGGCCGAGCCGTGCTTGGAAGTGCGCAGAGCTTCCAAACCGGGTGCGCCGAAAGAAGGACCTCCTCAAAAGGTCTGCACTGCGGAAATTCGGGGGCCGGTGCGCGCAGCGGATGTGCCGGTCGCCGTGCCGGGTCCGTGAGCGCGTAAGCGTTGCGGCGCTCCCCGGGGCTACGGCCGCTGCAGTGAGCAGCTGGCGTGCTCGCGAGGGCTGTCCGCGCCGGACTTTTCCGCCTGGAATGTGCCCCTCTGCTCATACCTGAGCCGCTGAGCCCAGCTCTCCCACGGTTCTTCGCTAGGGCCGCAAGGGCAAGCGACTCCGGCCTTCAGGGGTGGCATGGTTCAGGATGCTGTCGAGCGGCGGGCCCTCGCCAGCTTCCGGCTGCAGCGGCTGCGACCAAGCGCCGCCCAGAGCCGTACTGGCGCGCAATGCTGAAAGCATACTATTGGAGATGCACATGTCAAATCTCGTGACTTTGTGGCCGGTAGAATCTACTAGATACACAACTATAGAGGGTCGGGGGCCCATCAGGTCATACGGAATGAGCTCGAACACCTCATCATTCCCCACGAAACTTTCGTACGCACTGTCACGGGAAACTCTCGACACTGCGAGCACTCAATGTTTTTCGAGGCCGCAGAGTGGGGGTCAACGTCGGGCCTGTACGGAAGGGCGACTGCGCTGCGCCTGGTACCATCAACGAAAGACACGGTGATAAAGTTGCTCACAGCACGAAAACAAGAATACAGAGGCGATGCAACGTGGATTTTTGCTGTGTTTCCACCCAACCGGCAGTCGTGGCCACCGCCCGCACGAGGGGAAGGGCCCAAGATGCGAGCACAAGCGTGCAGCGCAGCTTGCAGTGGCAAAGGCCACTCGATGTTGCCAGCCTCACAGAAAGTCTCCAAACTCGTGTTGTTCGTGGCCAAGACTTGGCTGCAGCAGGGAATCCCAGGCAGGAGCGTCGTAGCCCAGGCAAGCGGCAGCATGCCGTGCAGCTGTATGAGGCGCCGCGGTCTTAGTCGAGGAGCGCAGTGCGCCGACCAATCGATCGGTTGACTAGCTGTTGCCAGCGATGCCCGTGCACGACTGGTCGGCCCTCTGAGGATGCCTAGCTAGCAGCTGGAGGCGGCTTCGACTGCCGAGCGCACCCCGAAGCAGATGTGCGAGGCACTGTGAGCTCAGCCAGGCGCAGGGAGCCCTGAGACAGCAAGGTCGCCCGCGCGCACGGCCACCCCATGCTCTGCCCATGCTCGCATGCAACCGATTCCGTCGCTCCATGGCGGAAGCATTCGAAGCAGGCACTATTTTTCGCGCCGGGGCACAACAAGAACAGAAGGAACCACGCGCGCTGCAGATCGCCGACGGTGGGCAGACGGGTGAGCAGCTGGTCTTCATGGGGTACCTGCATCTCGGACTGCCCCAACCACGGTTCGTTAGGAAAAACATACACAACCATTGAAAAGCCCGTGCTGTAAGAACACACATGTAAATAAATGCACGAAGAGAAATCTTTCTTGTTGATGGCGATCCGCGCGCGGCCGGCAGGCAGCTGGGCACAGGCATTCCCGTCGTGCAAAACGTCCTGCAAACGCGGTGCCTGCGCGCCAGGCAGTGAAGGGTGGAGACCGGGCAAAGCGTTTGCCCACCGCCCGCACCAGCCCCAGCGACCTCGGGATCTTGGTCATCGGCCTCGGACAAGGACTCGCGCGCAAGCAACCATGGCCGCGTGCATACAGTGGAGAGGTCCGGGGGGCAGGGTGGCATGGTCACATCGTAAACATCGTCCAGGAAAGCGGCCAAGCATTCACCGGCTGCAGGCACTCGTCGGCCTCTACAAGGGCATCGTTTTGGCCAAGGGCATACAAGGCCGGGGCCAACGCGTCGCCCTGCTCGCAGCCTTCACCTTGGCGGATGCTCCGCCAGGTGCAGGAGGCGCCCCACCAGTAGTAGGTGGACTCCTGTCCGTATTACAGGCGGACGAACGGCACCAGGGCCGGTGCAGGAGGCACACGTCTGAGGCTGTCAACCAGGCGTTCAAGGCGTTGAGGCGGCCGGGGCACCCAGCAGCATGGTGAGCCGCGCCTCGTGCAGTGGGGCAGCAAAGTAGTGCCCATCCCGCGGATCGGAAATTGCGTGGACGAGTTCGGCAAGTGAGGTCACTTATGCTTGCCGCAAGGCGGCCCACTCCCTGAAACGGCGGAGCGACTGGGAGAGGCGCAGCGACGAAGAGTTGAACGCTTGGCACACGTGCTCGGCGGCGTGCGAGAGCTCGGGTGCAGGCAGGAAGGGCCGGGCGAGCAGATGCATGCCGTGTGCCAGCGGAGAGCACGCCTGCAGCATCCAGCAGGAGCGGGATATACGCTGTGGAATTCGTGCTGGCTGCTAGCGGCGAGCGGCAGCAGTGGTGCTTGGGGCGCCAGAGTGTCGGATGCGACGGGAGGCGGCGCGTCCGCAGCGCGTGTGGTGCAGACGGGGGCTCGGGCCCCAGAGCAAGTGGCCGCGGCATGCGAGCAAACGGGGATCGAGAGCAAAACCCAACATTCGGTTTGCGACGCGAGGTCGACCTCCCACGACATCAGCGTCAGGCAATAGTGGCAACACGGGGGGGGTCCAGGCGGTTGGACGCGCGCAGCTGGCAGCACGTTTTGGCAGCGCATGCAAAGCCACCGCAATGTCCAGGAAGCGATGATGCCTCTGTCGTTGCGGTGGGGCACTGGGCTCGGCACCGACGGGATGGAAAGACCACCGACAGCAGCAGACTCGCAGTCGCGGAGCCGACGCACATCGAAAACGCAGGCCCGATGCACTACACTTGGCTTCAGCGTCAAGGTGTTGAGTGCAGCATAAGCAGCCGTCCCATGTGCAATCGGGAGCTGTCGATGTGGCCGAGTCCAGCCAAGAAGGCGTGACACCAGGGCCGGGCCGACTTGTACCCAAGGTCTCCGGGCCGTCCGGGAGCTTTGAGACTCACGACAGGGAGTTTCGGCCGTGTAGCCTGAGACCTCGACGACGCTTTCCTCTTGGACCTGGTCTATTTCAAGGCAGACCCTTCTGTCCTGTGTCCACCAAGCAGCGTTTATGTGGACGGGGTGTCAGCTCCTCTCTTGTGACCAACAGTGTCGTCGCAAGTATCTGGTCCATGCTTCCGGCCATGCGTTCTGCGCTTTCCTGCCTCTCTGACCACATACCACCCCATCGATCCATTACGTCGCGCCGTTACGCAGGGCGCCGTTACCCAGGGTCGAAAATCATGGCCTGCTACGGCCGATGTTGTTTGGCGAGCACCGCTGCGAACAAGAGGAGTCTGCTGCCCGAGTTAGCCGATCTGATAGTGGCATTGCCAGAGCCGTACAAGAATCATCTCCAACCCTCCCTGATTGCTGTAGTCAGGCAGGCCCATGGCATGACCCATTGGCTCGATTGAGACGTCATGCGGCATTGGCAACATTGTGGAGCTGCGCGGCCTGCTTCTTTCCAAGCACGCCTTCTTTGCTTGCATCCAGCATCTCGAAAGCCACCTTCAAGTAAGCAAGTTGCAATTCCTCTTACGACTATTCAGCTCATGCAGACAACTTATGCAACGTGGCCTTCAAGTCGTTGGGGCTGGTTAGGGCCATTGCCCCCTCAATGCCTTGTGGCGGTTTGGCGCCCTTTGTCTGGTCATTCGCCTGTCGCACGAAGCTGTCCATGGCGTGCACTGTCGGAATGGTCGCGTCTAGCCCACTTTCATCCAACATGAAGTTCTGCAACCGCTGCTGGCCTTCCTGTATGCCTGGTACCCCTTTGATGTCAGCTTCGAAGCTTCTCCACTGCTCGAAGCCATCGCACTGGTCGCGGTCAATCTCTGTTGTCACTTCACTAGATATGTGTACTCGCATAACATGTTGCACACCATAGGCACTTCGTAGACGCGGCGCCCGACGGCAGCTTCTTGGAGGGACTGCTTCGGTGCTCTCGTTCCAACACGAGCTTGCTTGGTCGCGCAATGACAGTGAAGCACACCAGCATGCAACAGTATACTTGCAGTGGTCCAAGAACTGGTGACAAGTGCCTGTAACTCTCTGGCAGAGTGCTCGTTCATCTCAAGACATCTAGCAACATTGGTCTCAGTGGCTTTTTCAACTGCTTGAACGACATCGCCCAAAGTCCGAACGCGTGCGAAGGTGAAACGGCAGCACTCTTGATCGGCATCAGCTCAGTTTACCTCTGTCTGAGCGCGTACATCTTCACTGGGACCAGATCCGAGGGCCAATGTGCCTGCCGCCCGGAACATGCCCAGTGGCACAAGATGATGGGATGACATGTGATGACGGGCAGGGTCCGAGTCAGCAAAAAGAGTCAAAAAAACACCACGGGCAGAATCGGCAAGCAAACCGGATGTCATCAACAGCACAGCCGCACTCAGCAAACCTGAGAGCATCGGAGACGACCCAGCCCGAAGCGGCAAACACCAAGGAATTGCCATGCGACATCAGGACCTCCGACGCAACGACATGCTCCTGGAAATGAAGTGTAAACTTGCCCGACATGTCAACGTAATGTAACGCCCTTTCCGAGGCCAGCGATATGCGAGGGCCGCAAAGAGAATGACACGAATGCAATGAAGTAAAAGCATGCTTGTCTTACGTCAACTGGGGACTTTTGGGAATTCCAGGGTGTTAAACGGTTATAGCTGGAGAATGTGATGTTGTAGATCGATGATTGGCTGTAAGAGCCCAAAAAGTGAGGGAACAAGACAGTGAATTGGCGGTGAAAAACGGTGGAATGAAAAGTGAAGTGAACAAAATAGATAAGTAAAAACCAGCGAGACTTGCAATGAAAACACGAAGTGACTGCATGTTTCCTTTGCGAACGATGACTGGGGAATTTTGGAGGTGTTCTGGGTTGTGAAGAGAATGCTGCTCTTAGTGTACTTTTGCTGACTTTATCACTCCTTTTGCGGACTTCGGCCTCCGTTTGCTGACATATGCTACTCTGATGCGATGACCGTCCGACCCTCCTGCTTCAGCTCGTGCTGCAGCACCAGACCAGCTTTTCGGAAGATGTCCTGGCAAGGCGGCCCTGGAATGTCCAGGAAAAGAATGCTTCAGAGTTGTGAAAGTCACAGGTCCTTGTACATGGCATCTGTCCTCGAGATGCTGTTGTCATCTCGGTCCACGATCCATTGCCTGGCGCACCAAGACAACTCAACGATATCACGCCGGTCTCTCCCCGGTTGTTCTGGCGCACCCTTCCAGCACCACGTTTTCCTTCACGAAGATGAGGCCATCCCTATCATGTCACACACAGGCCCTTGCTCAGTCTCTCCCTCGCCCCAAGAATGAGAACAGGACGAATTCTGCTCTCGCTTCTCGCCTTGTGAGGCCCTTCTTGCATCGCTCGAAGAAGGATACTAAGTCATCGTCTGTTAAGTAAAGAAGCACCCACTGAGCCCAGATTGTGTCGTACCTGCACGCGGCATCGAAAGAGCAGATTCAAACGAGCCAGTGCGAATGAGCCAGTGCGGGTGCTTGCCTGCCCTCTTCGGGCTGGAATTGCTCCAACGAGCTGTTGATGAAGCGGTCCACTTTGGCATTGCGAATCTGACGTTGAGCAGAGGTCCAGCCAAACGGCTGGAAGGCCCTCTAGTACTAAAAAGTCTCACCTGCTCGCGAGCCGCTTCCAACAGTCGCGCATTGGGCTCGACAAGGTCAACCTGGCCGAACCTGACTTGCCCCTGCCCCACCATAGGTCAACAGATATAAAGAACGACAGTAGGCTCACGGCTCATGCACCAGGAGTCCTTCGGTGACCTGGTTCAATGCAGCGCTTGCATGCCAAACCTCTGCACTTGCAGAGGCCACGGCTCGTCCAATTCCCGCTCCGCAATCCAAGACCGTCCCTCTTTGGCTTGGCGGGTCCGTCCTCAGGTACTGCGAATGACACAGTTGCAAGCTGAGATTGCTGAGCTCGCTACGGCCGTCGCACCATTTTCAGGAATCTCCTCATCACATGCACCCTGGGGCCCTTAGTCCTCCGAAAATGCACGCTGTGCCTGGATTCCCTCAGGTCTGGCTCGCTGGTCTCGGGGAAGCCACCCAACACACCATTCACCGTGGCGTCCTTCCCGTGTCGCAATCGAAATGCAGTTCGTTGGCTCTCTGCTAAGCCTGAGCTGCCCAGTGCTCCAGCGTCTTCTTGTACCAGCCTTCAGATTCAATTGGAACAGTCCACTCTGGCCTTTGAACGTGACGGCCAAGCACTCGATTCCAGCAATGCACTGAACGCTGTTGATGTCGCGTGGTTAGCGGAGATATGTTCCCGTTGCCACAGAGAAGGGTGTTCTTGCCCCTGCGGTACTCGGAGTTGTCACCTGAAACCCTCCTTATGATATGTAAGTGGCTCTTTCCTTGATCAGCTTCTGTTGGAGGACAGCTTGAGCGTGAGTTTGGCTCTGAGCAGGATATGTCTTCCTGACTTCAACTATAACATGTACCTTAGAAAGCGCTCCAGGTACAGGCAGAGGCTACATTACTTCCCAGTGTAAGCAGCTGTTTGCATGTGAGTCGCTGGACTTCTTCTCTTCATCATTCCACCTGACTGCTAGCACAATTACAGCAGCGGTTCAGCGGTTGCTTCACTGCTCAGCAAGGCACAGGTCTAGGTGGCTGGAGTACGCTGCCCCAGTGCTGTCCGTTCCAGGCCATGCCTGCGCCGAGAAGGGAGATGCAAGCGCAAGCTGATGTCCTCAAAGGGCCTCCACGAGAGGCTTCTCCATGGTGAAGAGGGGCTCGCCGGCTGGAGCCTGCAGCGACTGTGACCTCTCTTCTGCTGGAGCTGCTGGAGCTGCCGGGCTGGAGCCTGAGAGTTCGGACGGCCACCGATCGGCCGCCTGCGGCGCACTAACACGTGCGGCAACGACGAGCTGCCGCATGTCCATAGGTTGTGGGAATTGTGGAAGTAATCTGGGCAAAATCCCCCAAAAAGTGCGTAACGCATACTGCCCCCGCGCAGTTTTCCCTCGGCAGTTACCCAGTGAATCCAAATCTACTTATGTAGGTCGTTCAGGTTCCTGCCGACTCAAAGTGTCTAGGACCAAGACACCATGAAACGAATGCCACAAACAAAAGCAGCCCGACATATGCAAGCATGTGCCACCTAGCTTCCAGAAACACCTGCGTTCACGTCACGTGGGACCTCCTCCAGAAAGCGTGTCACCAATCCATGGCTCTCTTCGGGTGACCAAACATTTGCGTTAGGGTCAGGCAGATATGCACATGGACGGGCTATCTACAACATATAGTCGAAGGCGGGTTGTACAAGAGCGAGCAGGAGGTTTGTCGAGAGTTTCGGCGCTTTCAGGACAAGCTGTCTCTTTCTGCCATGCTGCATGTATGCTTGCCTGGTAGGCACAGCTTACCATACAGAATACTGTTGTCAGAGAGCAAAGAAGATCCGGAAAAGAATTACCGTGCCATCAAGTTCTCTGTAAAACCGGACCATGGTGTTCAGGCAACGCCTTTCAACCCCCTACTGTGCTGTAAGCCGAGCTTCGGGGAAGTCACGAACACCCTAACACATCCCATGTCAAAACCTCCAACTCTGGCCTTCGGGCTGAGGGCCTGTGCACCACTGAACGGCCGAGAAAGAGTGTGCGACGTTCGTGAGCCGGCGAGGTCTGTGAAACTCTCGGCACGGAAAACGGTCTCCGTGTCCGGTCCGTGTCCATCGCTGGCCCGGCCCAGAAGTTCCTCCTGTGCCTCGGGCAGAGCCCCGCCTTGCTGAAGTCCGGAAACTCTTCAGGAGCGACATGAAATGCGAATGCACGAAATTGGCTTAAGCTTTCAGAAGCTCTAAGGGGGCTCCGTCTTCAGATCTGTCGCCAGCCCGCAAAGAGCTGCCCACAGACCTCCAGGACACAGGACAGGCACCAGCGGCAACAGCCTGTTGGTTCGGCAGGGATTCCGAGCCCCACCTTGCATTTGCCTCCAGTAGCAGTCTTCATTGCACACTTCTTGCCTTGAAGGAACAATAGAAGCTCAGCTTACTCCGTCTCAGTCATCCAAACTCAGGTGCATGGCATGCAGCTTCATGTCCACATCCATCCGTCTCGTACCTCGAATGCAGACAGCAAGATGTGATCATTCCACCACACTCATGAGCGATCTGGCAGCGGGCGTCCGCGGCGCTCTCTTGCAGTACAGGCAAGCGTCCTGAACTCATGGCACCGTCATTTTTGCAAGGGTCTCGGATGCATCTCCTCTGCTGGAGCAGGTGCTGCAGAAGGCACCGCTGCCGTCGCTGGACCATCCTATTAACTCGCCAGCGCAGCGCAGCCCAGTTGAGGGTAGCGAGACCCCATAGAGCCAACTGAGCACCTCGCGTGTTCCTTGGTGCCCCCGACGAAGGTCATCCCAGGAGTCGCCATTTGCCCCTGCAGAGTCAGTTCCGAAACTGAGTCTCTGCGACTCACGTGAGCTACTTGAAGCTGCTGCTGCAATTGCTTGTGCTCATGTACTTCATGTGACAAGATGGCACCAAGGTGCTGTGAGCCCAATGGCTTCCATGCCAGGGCGCCGTAAGATTGGATTCAATAAACTGGGTGGCAATATAGAAAACCTCCCATCGCGGGAATTTCCGGGCGCAAGCTTAGCTTTAAATGCGTGGAGATCGAAACCCAAAATGGCCAAAACGATTGATCGTAGACGTAGAGTGGACCAATTAATGGTGTGGTAATGAAAAAACTCCCGGCCCAAAATCCCAAAAAATGTAGGTACCTGGCTAAGAAACTAACAAAAGCTCAAACTAACAGGACCCTAAAGGCAGGCAGCAGAGTGCTTATTTTAGAGAAAGAGAAGCCTAGACTCCCCCTAAACCCAGCTGGCAAAGTGCAATTCTTCAAACATCCCACTGAACTACCAGCTCGCAGAGCGCAGGTCCAAAGACTGAACAGCAGCCGCTCTTCTTGAGGCCTCTGCTTTCTTAAAATTTTACATAAACGGAACCATTTTACAAAGCCTGCAATGGTA